CCCTCAATTTAGGCAATGGGATCGTTGCAACAATATGGTCATATCATGGCTGACCAATTCACTCTCACCAGACATAGCTGAGAGTGTGCAGTATTCAGATACCGCTGAGAGCATATGGAAACAACTTAATAATAGATATGGGACAGTAAATGGAACTAAGGTGTTTGAATTAAAAAGAGAACTGGCATCCACATATCAAGGATCTTTTGATATTCCTTCTTATTTCAACAAACTTAAGAAAATATGGGATGAATTGGAGGCTATACGTAGTAGTCATGCAAACTCTTGTAATTGTGCTGCTAAAGAGGGTTTACAAAAGGAAAGAGAAGAGGACAAAGTACATCAGTTTCTTATGGGATTAAACGAGATTTATGTGGGTGTTAGAAGCAATCTACTAATGATGCATCCTTTACCCTCTCTTGATTCTGTCTATAACATCCTTCTACAAGATGAAAAACAAAGACAAATTACTACAAATCCCCAGTTTCATCCAGAGTCTGCTTCTTTCAATGCTAGTTCCAATAATATCAAATTTACTCAATCACAGCCACAACAAAAACAGTACAGTCAGAGGGTATTTTTTGATCAATCTAAGTCTGGTCTCTTCTGTAAGTATTGCAAGAAGACAGGGCACCTGATTGACAAATGTTACAAGCTTAATGGATTTCCTCAAAATTTTAAATTCACCAAGGGTAGAAAACCAGCTGCAAACATGGTAGATTCTGAACCTTCTGCTCCACAAAATGTTTCTGCCAATTCTGTTTCAACCTCTACTCAGAATCAGGTAGAACAAGGTTCTGTGGTACATGGCTTGACTCAGCAGCAGTATGCTCAATTGATATCCCTGCTTCAACAAACTCACATCTCTGATTCTGGACCCTCTCTCAACACTCTAAGTTCTGCCAATTTTGCTGGTACTTTATTGCCTAAAACTGTTGTATATAGTTTTAATTCTACTTTGCTGAGTAAATCAGATTCCTTAACTTGGATAGTAGATTCAGGTGCATCTGACCATATGACTTTCGATAAAGACTATCTCATTAATATCACACCCTTACCCATTCCATTTCTTGTTTCCCTTCCAAATGGATACAAAGTTAAGGTTACCTGTACAGGATCTTTTGTCTTAACTGAGTCCATTATTCTTCATAATGTCCTTTATCTACCTTCTTTTAAACATAATCTCATTTCTGTACACAAAATTACTGAACAATTTGATTGCATAGTTCAGTTTACCAGAATCTCATGTGTTATACAGGGCCCTTCTCTGAAGAAGCCTCTGGATCTTGGTAAACTGGACAATGGCTTATACAAGTTTGTTTGGGAACAATCATCATCTCAGATTCACCCAGCTTTGACAAATGTTTCACATAGCAGCAACATTTCCCCTTTGTGTAACTCTAGTTCTCTCTCATTTTCTGATGTACATAGAGATTCTGCCATATGTAATAAAGCTGCTTTGAATAAAATGGATATTGTTTGGCATAATAGACTTGCTCATGTGCCTTTTATTAGAATGAGGAGTATATCTGAAATTTCCTCTACTATTTCTTCTAATCAGTCTTTTCCTTGTACAATTTGTCCAATGGCTAGGCAAACCAGATTACCATTCCCAGAAAGTTCCATTAACACTTCCAAACCATTCCAACTCATTCATGTTGATACTTGGGGACCTTATCATACCCCTACCTATTCTGGTTCCAAATATTTCCTCACTATTGTTGATGATTTTTCTAGAAGTACTTGGACTCATCTAATGGGATCCAAGAGTAATGCATTCTCTTTGCTCAAAGCCTTTATTGTTATGGTCAAGACTCAGTTTCATATTACAATACAAAACATTAGGTCTGATAATGCATTAGAGTTAGGCTCTAGTCATGCTGCCATTTCTTTCTTTTCTGAACATGGCATTATTCATCAAACTAGTTGCCCCCACACCCCTCAACAAAATGGTGTGGTTGAAAGAAAACATAGGACATTACTTGAAGCATCTAGAGCTTTACTCTTTCAGTCTAAAATTCCTATAAGATTTTGGAGGGACTGCCTTTTAACAGCTACTTATATCATCAATAGACTTCCTTCCAGATTACTCAACAACAAATCTCCTTATGAATTATTGTATGGCAAAGTGCCTAGTTATTCCCATCTTAGAACCTTTGGGTGTCTTTGCTATGCAACTGTTCCCATTCCACAAAGAGACAAATTCAAACCTAGAGCATTTCCCTGTGTGTCCTTGGTTATCCGTTTGCTTAAAAGGGATACAAATTGTACAATTTGCACACTAAACACAGTTTCATCTCTAGAGATGTGGTGTTTCAGAAGATCATTTTCCCTTCTCCTCTGATTTTTCTCTTCCTGCTTCTTCTGAATGTATTTTACCAAATACACCCCAGTCTTCTTCTCTTGTTCCCAACATTGACCTTCCTGAAGCTGCTGACTTGTCACCATCACAACCTACTGCTGATGTTCCTTCACCTATGCCATCTCCTGTTCCAAATTCAACTCACCCTGTTCACCCTTCTAATTCCTCCTTCCCTGATTCTGTACCTGCTGCCTCTACCTCTCCTATTCCCTTTAACCCTGATATTATTCCTACTACTATATCTGTCCCTTCCCCTGATTCCTCTTCCTCTTCACTACCTTTGAGAAAATCCAGTAGAGTTCACTCTCATCCCTCTTATCTAAAGGACTATGTTTACACTCTCCCTCATCTCTTTCTTGTTCTGTTACTCAGCATAAAGAATTTGAACCATATACATATTCTCAGGCTGCTCCCATACCAGCTTGGCAAGATGCCATGAGAAAAGAGTTTGCAGCTTTAGAGCAAAATCATACTTGGGACATTGTTGAGCTTCCTCATGGTAAGAGACCTATTGGGTGTAAGTGGGTCTATAAGATTAAGTACAAGGCTGATGGTAGTGTCGAAAGATATAAAGCTAGGCTTGTCATTAGCGGGGACACCCAAGTTGAGGGGGTGGATTTCAATGAAACTTTCTCTCCCGTAGTGAAAATGTCCACTGTGAAATGTCTTATTGCTGTTGCTGTCAAGAAAAAGTGGTCTTTGTTTCAACTTGATGTTAATAATGCATTTCTTCATGGTGATTTGAATGAAGAGGTCTACATGAAATTGCCTTTGGGTCTTTCTGTTTCTTCTTCTAATTCTTCTATTTCTGCTCCATTGGTTTGTAGACTTAGAAAATCCCTTTATGGCTTAAGACAAGCTTCCCGTCAATGGTACGCTAAACTATCCACTGCCTTGTGTTCTAGAGGTTATCATCATTCCCCTAATGACTATTCTTTATTCATCAAAGGTTCTCCTGGTCACCTTGTTGTCATGGCAGTTTATGTTGATGACATAATAGTCACAGGTGATGACTTGCTTGAAATTGATTCATTGAAAGCATTTTTGGACAATGAATTCATGATTAAAGATTTGGGGTCCTTGCATTATTTTTTGGGCATTGAGGTTACCCATCTGCCTGGAGGTGTTCTTCTCAATCAAAAGAAATTTGTGATTGATTTGCTTCATGAGTTTAACTGTTCTGATGTTAATTCTGTGGTGTGTCCTTTGGAGTTAAATAACAAATTGCATGCTGAGGTTGGTGATCTTCTTCCTACACCTGAAAGATACAGAAGTCTTGTTGGTAAGCTACTGTTTCTTACTCACACAAGACCAGATATCTCCTTTGGAGTTCAGCACCTTAGTCAATTTTTAAAGTCCCCTAGACTTCCTCATATGTCTGCTGCTCTTCACTTGCTTTGATATCTCAAAGGTACTGCTGATCTTGGGCTCTTTTACTCTGATTCTGCTGACTTGTCTGTCCATGCTTATTCAGACAGTGATTGGGCTGCCTGTCCAGATACCCGCAGATCTGTTACTGGTTATTGTATTTTCCTTGGTGATAGTCTTATTGGTTGGAAGTCTAAAAAGCAACCAGTGGTGTCTTTATCTTCAGCTGAAGCTGAATATCGGGCTGTGAGCAAAGTTGTGGCTGAACTAATCTGGCTATCACGTTTATTACTTGACATTTCTGCTCCTATTTCTTATCCTATTTCTGTATTTTGTGACAACTTGGCAGCAATTCATATTGCTAAGAATCTGGTCTTTCACGAGCGTACTAAGTACATCGAGGTGGATTGTCATTTTATTCGGACTAAGTTGCTTGAGGGATTTATTCAACTTCATCATGTTCCCACTGCTCATCAACTTGCTGATGTTCTTACAAAGCCTCTCCCTGGTGCTCTCCATCATTCATTTTTGAGCAAGTTGAAGGTGCTATCCCCCTTCAACTTGAAGGGGGGTGTTGGGCTATCTGCATATTTGGCTTCAGGCCCAAAATTGAAAGAGCAATACTGATAGGCCCAACTGTAATATTTATGTATATAGCCTTGTATCTAGCTTTTTCTTTTTCTTATTATTTTCTGATTTGTATTTGTTGGACTAATCTTGTAAATGGACCGGATCCGGGTTTGTATATAAAGACAGAGGCCCAACTCAATTGAGTTGACCGACTCATTCTCCCAAATTCATTTCGTTCAAGTTCTCTGAAGAGAACATTCTAGAAACCTACCTCCATAGATGAATCTCTTTAATTTCCTCTGATTCTAGTAGTTAACAACTTCTTTGGACGGAATCGAATATGATGCAAGCCATGTGTACTCTGGTATGTCAGTTAGCCAAACTAGAGATGGTTTAGGAACGGTAAGAATGTATCATTTGGGCCATTTCCCATCCAGCTACCACAAAACAAAAGCAACAATCTACTGCTAACGCGATCACAAAGTGAAAACATTGCTGATGCACTTGGGAGCAATCAAGATGAGTCTTCAATTAGTGGATCAGCTTACCAAAGTCGTCCAGTTGTTCGTCCCATTGGCCAACAAATGACTGCTAATTTAAGACGTAACTTAACTGATCCAGGAAACAAGGGCTTCGTGCTTGTAGAAAAAGAAAACCAGCAACCGATCAGTGTCATGAATCAGCCTACTCCAAGCTTTTTGCCTAACGCGGGGTTAATACCAAGCCAAGACAAAGGTCCTGAAGAAAAGCTGACGTACACAAAAATACTGACAAGTAATCTCCCGCCTGAAGAAAATCCAAAGGACAGTGAAATAACTGAAACAATTCAAGAGGACAAATATGAAGAAGAGGAGGAAGATTTTCCAATATGGGAACATGTAATATCCAAAAAACAAAAGATCAGGTTCGCCAAGGGAAGAAACAAAAATACTCCTAAGAACAGGAACTAGTCTACTGAAGCTGGTGTATCGTTGCTACATTTTCATGGTTCTTTATATACTTCACAATTTTTCCCCACCATTTCAATATCCAAAGAGGATTAAGAATTTACTCTTCTCCAGTTGTTACTTTCAGAAATACACACTAGAGGAAGAGGGCTTTTTTTTCTTCATCTAGTAACAATTAGGAAAGAGTAAATTCTTAATCCTATCTGGATAATTTGGGGAGAAATGGGGGGAAAAAGAAGGAAGAAAAGGAGGAAACGAACCAGAGGTAGCAGTTTTCCCTTCCTTTTTTTTTGAGTGTAGAACTTTGTGTTTGAAATTTTAAGTACTTTTTTCTATTATTATCGCGTTGGCCATTGCAGAGGCAGATCCAGGATTTGAGGCTTATGGGTTCCTACCCTAATTTTAGATTAATATGCAATAATAACTAGGTTCACAATTAGATATTTACAAATATTTAGTGAATTTCTTAATATAAATACAGGATCTATGCAAAAGTTACTGGGTTCCCGGGAACCTATATTCTATACTCTAGGTCCGCCCCTACTTCATTGGAATTAAGTTTTGCGTAACACTTTTTGCATACTTTTATCATGGCTGAATTTTTTTTTTCTACTTCTTTCCCACATCTGTAAATCGATTTAACTTATATTGACAATAATACTATAATAATTTTTATACTATCGATTTAATTTCACATATTGTGTGATTTTACATTGTCAAAGGGTGTAAAGTTAAACACTTAGAATTTGTAGCTGAGTCTACTGGTGAAAAGCAACTAGAAGCTTGAAGAGGAATGGGTTGGCCGAGTCCTGGAACTTGTAGCTGAGTCCTAATATTCCAGCCAAATGTAGAATGTTATTTCCATCATTGTCTACTACTATTAAAGTAATCAAGTCTTTAATTGCTCCAATTTGGTGAATAAGACTGAAGACTGTTTCCTCTCTGTGTAAAACAGCAACATGAACGGTCCGATCTCTATGGTCGACTTTCCATATGAGATCAGGATGATCGCGATTAAGCACAATTAAAAACTCTACATTACCTGCTTTTGCAGCAGAGTGCAGCAATTTTATCGTGTCCACTTCCACTATCTCCAATAATAGCTTATCCTCTGCCATCTCTGACACTCTGCCCAGAGCTCCTCAAGTAGTAGACCAGCTTGCTCCTTCAGTAAAGATCTTCCAGGAAATATCTGAACCCTAAATTTGAAGAAATATTAGCACTACAACAAATATGAAGCATCGTCTTGATATAAAATAATGCGGAAAAAGAAATCACCAACACCTTGAGACCACATATGCCGAGCTTCTGCGACACGGAGTGGAGAATGCTTATGGAACAGTGTTGGGCTCCGGATCTTGCTCTTCACTTTCACTGAAATTGCCAGACGCCTAAGTAGGCGTTTGAACATAAAAAAGGTAAAATTCGAAAAAATGGTGAATTTTTTTTTAGATGTTATTTGAAATTTAGAGTTGTGTTTGGACATAAACTTCAGTTTGGTTAATTTTCGAAGTTTTGTGAGTGATTTGACTGAAAAAATTTTGAAAAATAGCTTTTTATAATTTTTCAATTTTTCAAATTCAAAATGCATCTTCCAAAATTTCATGAACAAATACAGATTTCAAAAAAAAAATGAATTTTTTTTGAAAAAATCTTCCATCAAAATTTATATTCGCACTAAGTAATGGCATGTGCAATGTTTCTGTTTTCGTGCCTCAATATCACGAATGGTCAGTGTATTTATGATTTTGTTAAAAGAATTTAGGTCTTGTAGTAAATATTGATACCTATTTTTGTCTCTCCTTCTCCTACCCTCTCTCCTCCTTTCTATTTCTCTTTCTTCTCTTTTTCAAATTCGGCCGGCGACCTCTTCCCCTTCCTTGTTTTGTCACACCTAACATCCTCCCCGGAAGCCGTTTTCGTTCATACGGTTGTATTACACATTCTAAATTTTTCTTGGATTTTGCATTGATTGTTCATACTTGCCTTGTGAGATCTAAAGAAGTTCTGTTTCTAGTTTCTGTTTAATCTTTAAAGTGGTGCTTCTTCAACAATTGTCTTCACTTAACCGGCGGCCTGGATACCGGTGGATTGGGGCCGAGTAACTTGAAGAGTCTGTTACCTTTTTTTTCATTGTATTTCAATATATCTCGTTTTATTCCATGTATTTCATTGTATTCACTGTTTTTTTCATTATATTTCAATGTATCTCGCTGTATTTCATTGTATTGTAAAAAAGGTATATGTATGTGTTGTAATTAATATAATTTATGTATTCAAATGTATTTGCAGTATGTATTCATACATTTTTGCACTATAGATGACATGTTATACTTCATGTATTCAATGTATTTTTATGTATTTAACTATATTCAATGTAATTATATAATTTTAATATATAAATCTATTTGTAAAGATACCACTAAAAAATATTTTAGTAAAGATACCACTAAAAAAGAAGCTCTGTTTTTGGGGTGTTTTTCGGTTGAGATTCTTTTCTATAATTGGAAATACAAATTTTGGGTGTTATAATTGAGTTTGTTGAGTTATATTAGGAGTCTATCACGTTAATTGATTCACTTACCATTTTTAAACAACTGAAGACCTTTTTTCGCAAATTTCGTTACTGTATTCACGAATACAGCTCGCGAACACAGTCGGATACATTCTCTACTTAGCTGGACTCCCCTGTTTTTCATACAGTAACAAAAATACATAGAGTACAGTCTAGAACAATTAAAAACATAGCTATATGAAGTAATTTAGTAAATGATAGCTATATCAAGCTAATAATCACTAAAACATAGTGATTTTTGAAATTTTCTCTTTTTTACACCAAAGTCATCTAATTTTGTTTTCTTACACAAAAATCATAAAACTTTTACTAACTAACACAAAAATTATATGTATAAGAAAACATAATTTTTCGATATTATATTCTTATAAAAGTTTTTTTCCAGTTCAATATATATATATGTGTGTGTGTGTGTGTGTGTGTGTGTACAATATACATATTAGAGCTGTCAAAGCAGCTAGCCCAGCCCAACCCAGCCCAAGCCTCGTGGGCTTTTAAATTTGGTGAGCTAGGGCGGGTGTGCCCTCAATTTATATAAGCCTTAGAATGGCCAGCCCAACCCAGACCTAAGAGGGCTATAGGCTAGGGCGGGCCGACCCTTCAATCTTTTTAGGAAAAAATATTTCTTCAAATCTTTAGATATTTTTTTCGTGACATAATCTCTTAATCATATGAAAGACTTCTGTTTATTTAGAGCGTACAAGAATCTTGATATTTGACAAGGAATCCCGTAATTGAAATGCAAATTCTCTATCTCTAGCTCTTCTTTTTTTAACGTTACATGAATATTTTTTTATTACTTTTCTTTCACTTTCTTTAGGTTTGCTTCAATACGTTTATATGTTAAGGTTTTAATTTTTAGGTTTAACATTATTTGTTGATTTCATCATTATAGTCCATCAAAATTTTAATATTCATGAAATCTTTAGTATTGTCAATTTTCTTTGGGTATTAAAACTTGACCTTTTACTATACTAAAGAGCAATTTAATAATTAATAATATATTAAAGTAACCAAACTGATCTTTGCACTTAAAATAATATTTTCTTTTGAAAAAAAATTGTTATTGGCCACTTAAAACTTTCCTAGTTCGTTGTTAATTAAGCAAAAGAAAAACTAATCTTGTCATACTTCATGCATATCAAAAATATAAATTCTAGTTGATATGGAAGCATAAATGAGCAATCTAAGGTTGGAAAATGGGGAATATAGTTAATATTTTTTTAGTTTTTATTTTTTAAAATATTTAAATTTAATTTAATTAATTTTTGACCCACGGGCCGGCCCAAGTCCGACCTCGGTCAAGCCTCAAGGGCCAACAGATAGATTTGTTCCGCTCTTATAAGCCTCACTTTTAAATGGGCTAAGAAAATCTCAACCCAGCCCTACCCAAGTAGCGGGTTGGGTTGGGATGGCCTCACGGGCCAAGCCCATTTTGACGGCTCTAATACATATATACATATTTAAAATATTTTTTGGCTAGAGAATTGTGATGACCATGCATTCTGCGTTTCGAGGCCTTAGAAACCTCCTTTAGCATAAATCTGTTGTCAATTAATGACACTTTGCCAAAGGAGGAAACACAGATATATGATTTCATTATCCGAATTGTTTCCAGGTGTGTCACTTACAATTGACCATGCAACCTTGCTGGTTAATGGTGTAACTGCAATTCAGAAGAAGCTATGAATATCCAGTATGTTCATCCCTTTTGTTATTCTCCACCATTGCATTATCCTTTATATCTTGTATCATTTTCAAGATTTGCCTCATTGTTGGTCTCTGTTCTGGTGATGTCAAGCTACATATATTAGCAAGGTCAACTAACATTGAGAGCCATCTATCCTCCTCATTATCATCCTCCCTCATAGCTCTAACCCAATCTGCCATATCAGGGGGGGAGAGATACGGATGCTGAGATGGAGGTTTACCCGTTAAAAGCTCTAATAAGAGAATGCCATAGGCATAGACGTCAGACCCTGGAGTGGCTTTTCGTGCAGATTTGCGAACTTCTGGTGCTTTATAGCGTGCTGAATCAGGATCATCATCGGAAGAAATGTCTGCAAGCGCAATGAGGGAGTAGTCTGTTAGACAGGCCTCGAAATCAGACCCTAGAAGCACATTTGAGGACTTCAAGTTGCCATGTGTGAGCTTTGATGCTTGATGTATGTAAGCAAGACCCTGAGCCGCATCTTCCGCTATTTTTAGACACGATGTCCAGTGAAGGGGCTTTGCCCTTGTCGATCTTGACCCTGCCACGTAAAACAGAAAATAGGACACAATATGTAAGATACAACATAATCTTAGTATTTATATTTGTGGATTTTTGCTCAACGGGTCTAACTTCTGATCCTGCCTCTTCTTCCAAGACAAAGAAAAAGGATAAGGGTAAGGAGTGGAAGAAGGACAATGGAAAGCAAGATAGAAATGACAAAGGAAAGGGGAAGGTGGACGCTTCTTCATTAAAACGAATAGGGCAACGGGTGGTGAAAAGGTTTAATAGACATGTCAAAAACCCGGACATCATGCACGAAATTGTCCAAACCAAGGAAAGATAAATTCTCTTCTTGCTGAAGAGGAGAAACAAGGAAAGGGACAGGAAGTTGTTGTTTATGTGAATCCGTTGCGGCTCTTTAACACTTTGGCTTGTGTAACTATTGCGGATGAAGAAGAAAATGCTGCCAAGGAAGACATTATATACGTGAATGCTACGGGGGATGATTTGGCTGATGCTTATTCCACACTAATGTATGTGGATATGGAAATTGAAAACAAGAGTGTTGTTAGAATGATTGATTCCGGAGTCATACACACCTTTGTTTCCTCCACAATTGTACAAGAGTATGGGCTGCAAGTGACAAAGTGTCCGACGAAGATGGAGGCTGTGAACTCAAAGGTGGAACTTGGTTATGCGGTGGCGCTAGATGTCCCGATGATATTGGGTCATTGGTATGGAAAATTTAACATGACAGTGGTGCCGTTGGACGATTTCAATGTGCTGTTAGGAATTGATTTTCTGAAAAGGAATAAAGTTGCTCCAATTCCTCATTTGGATGGACTTATGTTCATGGGAGAGACAAACCCCAGGTTTGTGAAAGGTATTCAGCCCTACGGGGATGAAAGGAAGAATGTTGTTATTGATGCTTTGATTTCTGCTATTGCATTTGAGAAGGACTTGAAGAGGGGTGAGGTAACATACCCCGTTGCAGTCGTTGAAGTCAAGCCAGACGTGCAGCTTGAGGTCCCAAATTGTGTTGCAGATTTTCTGAAGGAATTTAAATATGTGATGCCTTCAGAATTGCCAAGGGAGTTACCACCGAGGAGGGATATTGATCACATGATTGAACTTATTCCCGGATCACTATCGCCTGCACGACCTCCTTATCGCATGCCACCTATGGAACTAACTAAATTAAGGAAGCAATTGTCTGAGTTGCTTAATGTTGGGTTGATTCAACCATCTAAGGCTCCATATGGTGCTCCAGTTTTGTTCCAGAAAAAGCAGGATGGTACGATGCGAATGTGTGTTTACTATAGGGTGCCGAACAAGGTGACTGCCAAAAACAAGTATCCTGCCCCTTTGATTCAGGAACTGCTGGACATACTTTCGAAGGCTAGTTATTTTACTAAGTTAGACCTAAGGTTAGGCTATTGGCAGGTTAGGATTTCCAAGGGGGATGCCCCTAAGACCACCGGTGTAACTAGATATGGTCGCTTTGAATTTCTTGTAATGTCGTTTGGGCTAACTAATGCCCCGACAAATTTATGTAATTTAATGAACATTGTTCTTTACGATTATCTTGATGACTTTGTAGTTGTTTACTTAGACGACATAGTCATCTATAGCCGGACCCTTGAAGATCATTTGTCTTACTTAAGGAAAGTGCTGGAAAGACTTAGAGCCTATAAACTCTATGTCAAGATGGAGAAGTGTGAATTTGCAAGTCGCGAAATAAAATTTCTAGGCCATTTGGTTAGTGAAATCCAAGTGCGAATGGACCCAAAGAAGGTCCAAGCAATAGTTGATTGGAAAGAACCAAGTGGGATAAAGGAACTTAGATCATTTTTGGGCTTTGCAAATTATTACCGGAAGTTCATTGCAGGCTATTCAAAAAGGGCTGCTCCTTTGATGGATTTGCTGAAAAAGAATGTCAAATGGGTTTGGTCGGATTCATGTGACAAGGCTTTCAATGCATTGAAAAAGGTCATTGCATCCGAACCAATCTTGAAGCTGGCAGATTTTGATTTGCCATCTGAAGTACACATTGATGCTTCAAATTATGTTGTTGGCGGTGTGCTGGTCCAAGAGGATCATCCAATTGTATTTGAAAGTAGAAAGTCGAATAATGCAGAGAAACGTTATTCTACATATGAGAAAGAGATGGTTGTAGTAATTCATTGCTTTTAAGTATGGAGAGTCTACTTGCTAGGAACAAAGTTTGTGGTGCGGACGAACAATGTGGCTAATACCTACTTCAAAACTCAACAAATATTGAGTCTGAATCAGGCCCGGTGGCAAGAATTCTTGGCTAACTATGACTTCATATGGGTGCACAAACCTGGAAAAC